AGCAGGTGTGACAAGTTTCTTCATGAAGTTGCAGCCTTTTGCCCAGTAAAGTCCTCCACAGCGGAAACCATGGCAAATGCGGTTCTTTATTCTGACTCTTCTTGGTATTCTCCCATTGACCCCAGGTAGTGGTGGCACTGCAGAGAATGTAATGCCTGCAAGTTGGCATCTCTCCAATAACCAGAAGTTGCCGAATCTCCGTGCTGAGTTTTCTGAGAGCGTACATTCCGGGTGTCTCGAGCTTGCGAAGTGCATGGGTGTACATTGGTGTATTCAGATGCAGCAAGACCACAATGCAGACGAGGCATTCTATTCGTTCCGGTGTGATGGTGTTGAATTCGGCCATCTCATGACGTTTATTTACCGATCCCGTAAAGTCGCGGGGACTTTCGCCTTTACACTGGGTCTTCAGAAAGACGTAACGAGGGGCGAAAACGGAATTACTCGAAAATTATTGCAATTCCTTCACAGTTTCTGCGAGAAATATTTCAGCAGCTTTCTTCGGTGGAATGTGGTTCGTAAAGCGAATATAGGCAGTCGTGTCCAGCTTCGAGATGATGAGCCTTATTCTGGCTGCGTCGTCGAGAGTGACTCCGTCCTGCTTGATGATGTCTTCTTACCTATTGTCTCATACGACGAAAGTAAATCTTGCCCGCATCGTGCGTGAACTGTGGCAGCCGTAACGAAAGCGAGTGTGCGACCAATTCCGTTGAACTAGGTGTGGGCTGTTATTGGCCTGGAATGCACAGGTGAAGCACATGTTTCTCACCTCATCCATGACTCTTTGAAGCATTTTCTGTTGGGTTGCGGCTTCAGCATCCAGAATTGTGCGTAGGATGTTTACATCCTTCGTCTTGATCTAGTCGGTGCACGTGTCTTCAGTCCCAATCGCCGAGATGTTGTAGTGCTGGACAACGGCATGATGAATCCTTCATTGTGTTAAACCAAAGAATGCAAGAACGACCGATCTCACTCGAGGGACTGTTTTTATAGGGGGCATTGGTGACCTCATAAGTAACAAACAACCTTCAAATGGTAGTCTTTGTCTGAGCGGCTGTAGCTCTACAACACTACTTTTGGACGACTTCTTGGTATATCAATGCTTGCTTTGCGTTCTGGTCATTATTTTTGTGACTGGTTTCACTATTAACTGAGCTATCAGCATTCCTTTCATATTATAAAATTTCGTGCCACTTTTTACGGATAAAGATAAAGTGTTGAGTGGTGATATTGCAATGATGTTATTATGTTTAATCACCGTAGTGCGTGAGGTGAGAGGTTTGTCTAGGTTCGGATGTAAGTGTGAAAGCGTCGCAAGATTGGTTACGATGATGGAGATTCGGACAGTGACGGTGAAGGCCGAGTCGGTCGCAAACGTGCTGCCGACGACGATTGGGATTCGTTGAAGCCAGCCAGAGATGCCGCGCCGTCCTGTTGATCTCGCCGTGCTCGGTTTGAATTATAAGACCACTGATGAAGATTTCAAGAAGTACTTCGAGACGTTTGGTACCGTCGTATTCGCACAGGTACGTGGGAAATTATGGTCGTCTGCGTGTTTTGTGGTTTGTCTCTGTGTTTCTTTGCTTGTTGAGTTTCACAGTACATGTTCAAAAGTATAAAATGAAGGTCGATATGGTTTGAGTGACCACTACATGGGGTGTTTTATAAGCTGAATAACGTTTTTGTGCGTGTCATTGAAGGCAATGAATTAGGGTGGGAAAGTGTTTCAGTTTAGCCTTCATCTTTCTTGCAAGGAACCTTACATAATCTACATGATCACGCGAGGATAGGGTCCTTCTCCGGAGGTGCGTTTGTCCTCGGCTGCATAAACGCGCCACTTTCGCCTCCTGAAAATACGTGTAAAGAGGCTAGAAGTTCAGTGTTGCTTGATGCAACTAATGTTTCCACCCATACGCCATACGGGAGCATTGTGGATGCTCGACTGCTCACGTGCAGTCAGGGACAGCTCGGGATGCAAACTTCTTATACCACATGGTGGTTGTATGGACCGTCCGAGATCTCACTTGCGCATCAGAAATGGGAGAAAACCGTCTGGGGGAGGTCGCTCGGCTGTCAACTTTATTGATTGACACATCCCGTTCAGCCTTCCAAATGTCCGTCGTAGTGCAGTCCCTGATTTTCCGACAATAAAAATGTCGTCGATGTATCGTCCGAAGTACAGAACTCCAGACGCTAAGGCTGCTCTTTCAAGGCTATCCATAAATATGATAGCAAGCAATGGTGCCAATCGGCTTCCATACAGCGAGTCCCCTCGTCTGCTTGTAATAGATAGTTCTGAAGCAAAATATGTTCACCCTAACCACGTTCCGAAGGAGCTCACCAAAGA